ATACATGTAACAGGTTCAACTTGGATCCACAGGAAAATGCCTCCAAAAATGGTTCAAAAACATTAAAATACCATCTACCCAAACAGCCCAGGACCGATCTGCGTTTCTGAGTCGGTTGTCTGGACTGTCTGAGATCACAAACACATCCCGGTCTGTCTCTTTAATAAGGGATCTCCCCGACAGTCGATGTGTGGAGATTCAAGGTTGGCAGCCGGATCAGCACTTTAATCGACCAACCAACAACATTGGAGGTGAACCTCTACACCCGAAAAACAAAATCACGGTGAAAAACGATGGCCCCTAGTGGGAAATCGATTAAGGGTGAAGAATGGGTACCTTTTTTTTGGTGGGGCCTGATCGATTCTGACTATCTATCTCTATCTCATGTGGCTCATGAAAAATCTATATTGTCAATCTGTGAATGGACCAAATTCAGACTCATCTCCCCTTCGGGGCTCCTCCCCCTGTTGAGACCGGCCGAGTGAGTGTGCGACCAAGTGCGCGAAGTGGCGCGACGGGTCCCAGGCGCTCGACAACACCCAAGGCAGTGCTGGAGCAGCCAGGGGATTGGATCGACCGGCGTGGACCAAGCAGAGAGCGGGGAGTCCAGAACGAGTCAAGGTCCTAGCGAATGTTCACTTGTTTTCATCCGATGAACAAGCTAAATATACATTGACTCACATATACATGTATATATATATATGCTACCCCCGCAAAAAAAACTACCTTTTAGACAATTTCTCTGGTATTTGCAATGGTTTGGTAAGATTTCAGAACACAAACTGAACAGCATAGCAATGGTAATGCTCATGGTAATGCAAATAGTGCTGCTAATGGCCATTCACCCTTGACCTGTGGCAATGCTATGTGGGACCTTGATGCCATTCACCATAATGCAATTTTCACTGTAACCTGTGGAAGCTTGCCTATTAATGGCATGGCTATTCACCTTGTGACGTGTGGCAACACTAATGGCAATGGTTCTGCTATTCACCCTTTGACCTGTGGGAGCTATGCACCTATATGTGCATTGTGAAGCCATGCATAGATAAAATATATTTAAGTATCAAACAGCACCCATGCACGCTTGGAAGAACAAGCATTCCATACGGCTGCGGAATATACAGAACCTTTCCCTTGCCTATTCACAAAGTGCTGCGCCTGCCACGAAATCTGCATTTCAAGATTCACAAAGCGCTGCGCCTGCCACGAAATACTTCGAGGTTC